CCCTGCCATCACGGTCCGGCCACAAATGGTTAACAGGTACCCTCACTTTTCACCCCTAGGGTAACCTTCACCACCCTGAAAAGTGTAGTGGGGGGCCGGTTAACCTTCTCTCAGTCCGGCCTGGATGCATCTGACCGCAATCGCGTCCAGAAGCTCAGTCGAAAAGACGAAGTCCTACTGTGTGATAGTATGCCCTACATGAAGAAGAATCTAATCGAGCACGTGACTGGTCCTGTCAGAGACAAAGAAGAAAGAAAAGATTGTGCACGCAGAGGAGTCAGGTCTCCCAGTCACAGTCATGGACAGATCTGACAATGTTTACGAGAAATAGCTTTCCCCCAAATACAACGTTCGGTCATTAAAGCTGTATCTAGACTGAAAGATGCCTCAAATACAGCTATAATGACCGTACGTTGTATTCGGGGGAAGAAGGTAGATTACTTAAAAAAAAGAAAAAAGGGAACTGAGGGATAATAAATGAAGTATTTTTTATCCCCTCTTCTCTGTTGCCAAACCTGATGCCACAACTCCCTCAGCTGCCCGGGGCGAGGTTGCACTAGCAAAGAGGGGGGATTGGATTGAAGGCCTGAATCTGGACGGGGAAGGTGGAAAGGTGCAGAAAATCTAGATTGAACTGCTTTTCTGCATCTGTGCTTAAAACACGACCAGATTCAGGAGCCTCATCGAATTCTCTTCGCTGGTGGACCTGCCCCCAGATAGCCGTTAGCTCGATGTCACCTGTCCTGAGAGAAGAAAGAAGTAGTGGTCAGTCGAACTCTACCATCTTCCCCCGAATACAGCGCACGGTCATTATAGCTGTATTTAGACTGAAACATAGTCTAAATACAGCTATAATGACCGTACGTTGTATTCGGGGGAAGAAGGTAGTCTATGCTGAGCTCACACCAAATCTTTTTTTTTTTTTTTTTTTCCCTACGCAAGCATAATCCCCCGAGGCATCCCCCCTTTCCGTTCTTTGAATGCAGAGAAAATCCAGCTGCCTCATCCGGGGCGAGGTCCCACTAGCAAAGAGGATTGTATTAAGCGTGTGAATCTGGACGTGCCCAACGCAGAGAAGCAGAAAACCAGATCAATCGCAATTTTGTGCACCCCTCCACAAACACGTCCACATTCAGGCGTTTAATTCAATCCTCTTTGCTAGTGGAACCAGGGACCTTGCCCCCCCTGTCTCTCAATCTTATTTCCCCGCGCCGAACAATGAAACGGACGGCAAAACAAAAGGGCGAACAAAAAAAGAAAAAAAAGAGGGGGAAAAAAAAGAGGAAAGGGGGGCACGTGCTGACGTCAACTCCGAGTCTCCAACTTGTGTGGCAGCAGCGCTGTATCGCTCCCCCCTTCCCTAATTCCGCCCTTCCGCCCTCCCGCCCTCCGGCCCTCCGCCCCCCTCCCTCCCCCCTGGGCCCTCCCTCCTTCCACCCTTCTCCCCTTCCGCCCTCCGCCCTCCGCCCTCTGCCCTGCAAGTGTGCGCAGTCCAGTTAGCTGATGCGGGCTGGTCCATATGCTGGAGACCCTAGGCTACCAGAGTGGCCCAGGTCCAATTGCCCGGCCGGGCCAAAAAGATATAAAAAATAAAAAAATAAAATTATTTTTTATTTTAAATTTTTATTTTAAATTTGGTAAAGAATTTCGATGTGACCCTGAAGCAGAAGTTGTTCAGTTTTTTTTCTGCATAACATAGTTTCGGATTTCTGTTTTTTTTTTTTTTTTTTTTTTTTT